ATGCCCCAAGAAGGTCAACAAATACCCCCCCAAAATCGTCCCCAGACTATTTTTGGACTATGTTTTTTTTGTAAAACATGATTTCCAGGGTATTTTTTGTTCTTCGTCGAAAATCCTCCTGTAGGGGGACAGGCCCGACTTAATTGACCCTACCCCCCACGATTTCTGTGGGGAAGGGTGGGGTTCACTTCGCGCGGGAGCTTCCGAACGGCGTGAGCCCCGCCCTCCACCTCAGAAATCGTGGGGGGTGGGGGCAGGGTTCGCATGCGGCCCCCCATTGGTGGCCGTCGGCGCATTGTGGCCCCATGATGTACGCCAGATAGCTTGCTTCACATGTATTGCGCCTGTCCCTCTACAGGGGGAGTATTCAAAAATAGTCAGAAAATAGTCTGGGGACGATGTTTTGACTATTTTTGACTCTTGTTGTGTATTTTTGGACATAGTTACTTTTTCACCCAAAGCCCCCCTGTAGGGGGACAGGCCCGACCTAACCCTGGACACCAACACCAAGATCGGCGGTGTGCCTCCACCGAGGGAAGACGGTCCCGATCTCGGTGATGGTGGCAATATTATGGCTTCCAAGGTGGCCGAAATGTTGCCACCGACACCGAAAGCTAGGATCATTTTTCCCATGTGGAGGCAACCCCCTGTGTTGGTGTTGGTGCTCATTTCCAGGCCTCCAACACCTCCTCCTCCTTGTGCCCCCTCCCCCGTGCCTGGTCCTCGCAGCAGGAGCCGGCCCACCTCGAGGGCCACGTGGCTGGGTGGCTCGGGGCCGACTGCACACAAGGCCACCGCCACGCCTCCTGCGTCCTCGGGCGAGGGCCCTCCCCCCTCCCGCCTCCCGCAGGCCTCCTGCTCCCTCCCCTCCCTCCTCTCCCCCCTCTCCCCCTCCTCCCCCTCCTTCCCCACCTCCCTCCTTTCCCGCGTTCCCTCCCTCCCTCCCTCCCTCCTCCCCATCCCTCCCTCCCTCCTTCTCCCCACCATCCCTCCCTCCCTCCTCCTTCCCCCGCCCTCCCTCGCACGAGGGAGGGTCGTGGAGGGAGGGAGGCCTCCCGCCTGCCTCCCTACTTCCCTCGCTCCGTCCCTGCTTCTCCCCCCATCTCACCACTCACCAAACCATCCCAACCCAACCCGAAGGCCTCAATTTGCCCTCCATTTCCAGTTGGGGGGGTCGGGGTGCACTAAAAAAACACACATGGAACCCGTACCCCTCCCCCCCCAACCCGATATTCGGGTCTTCGGGTTGGGTTGGGGTGGTCTGGTAAGGTAGTCACCATCCCTCCCTCCTCTCCCCCCGTCCTTCCTCGCAAGAGGGAAGGTCGCGGACAGGAGTCTGTGCGCAACCGCACTCGTTCGTTTGCTTCCGGCTTGTGCCGAACACTCGGGCGCGCACAAGAGAGCTTCGTAGTAACGAAGGCTCGCTGCCCCATGTCACCATCGACCCCATTGTCGCCTCAATGTCACGCATGCCGTCTTATTTTTTTCAAGGAGCACGGCAGCGTCAGCTTGTTTGCCCCCAAGGGGGTTGGTGGATGTCATAGCGATTCTTGGACTCGGTCGCGGATCTGGCCGTTTCTTAGGACCTGTTGGTTGTGACGCCGTTGATTTATGTTTGGCAGCTGGTGCCAACTTTCATTTCGCAATTTCGGCCGCAATCCGTCGAGGACTGTGCGAAACTTGGGTTGCCAAGCATTGCCATTATCATTCCAGCGTAATCCACGGCGTACTTCGCATGTATGTTTAACACTTGCTTAATGTGGCCCATATAACGACACCTTTAACCACAGTGTACATATATGTGTTGGACGCATTTTCCCCAATCCGACGAAAGTTTTACTACGAGCGTCGAAAGACACTCGGCGATGACCGCTCTGACTCATGCCGAACCTTCGAGAACCAACATGTATACATACCATGCGAGGACACGCTCCCAGAATCAACAATCTCTACTCTGAGGTGCATACGCGGCAAGATGTTGCATCAGGGTGCGCATGACAACACAGCAACAGCCGCACCACTGGAACGAGGACTGGGCGGCCTAGCGAGAGTCCCAGAGGCAGCCCTGGGCCATGGGTTGCGCAAGCCCTTAGAGCACCAGTTGCTCAGCACCAGGGCACTTGGGCAACTGGATCACCAGTTGCCCTTAGAGCACCAGTTGCCCAGAGGTCCGGTGCTCTGTCTCCAGATGCTTCGCTCTAAGGGTCCCTGCATTGCAGCCTGGCCGTTGCACTGAGCAGTGACAGGTGGGTGGTTGTTCATCGGATGTTCGCGCCCCTTTTCCTTTCCCTTCTGCCCTCTCTTCAAATTCTTTACGCTTCGCGTATCCCCACCAGCCCATCTCACAGCAGCAACTCTCGCGAAGCATGCCGACAGTCGTGTTTTTCAGGCGTGTGTCCGCTTGGCCCCGCATATTTCACCTGTTCCTCCTTCCTCCCGCCTCCTTGTACATCCTCCTTGTGAGGGGAGCGGGAGAAGGACGAGGCGGAGGAGGAGGGAGAGAAAGCGCTCCTCGTGATTTGAGTCGTTTGGGGTTTCTCGTCCTGGTGTGAGTCGTTCGGGCCCTTCTTCCTGGTGTGAGTCGTTCGGACTCTTCGTGGTGTGAGTCGTTCGGGCTCTTCGTCCTGGTGTGAGTCGTTCGGGCTTCTCGTGGTGTGAGTTGTTCGGGCCCCTCATCCTGGTGTGAGTCGTTCGGGCCCCTCCTCCTGGTGTGACTCGTTCGGGCTCCTCGTGGTGTGAGTCGTTCGGGGCCCGCGTCGTGGTGTGAGTCCTTCGGGCTCCTCGTGGTGTGAGTCGTTCGGGCGCCTCGTCCTGGTGTGAGTCGTTCGGGCCCCTCCTTGTGGTGTGAGTCGTTCGGGCTCTTCGTGGTGTGAGTCGTTCGGGCCCCTCGTCCTGATGTGAGTCGTTCGGGCTCCTCGTGGGGCCTCTTGGGGGCCTCTTGGAGCCTCGTGGGGCCTCTTGGGGGCCTCTTGGGGGCCTCTTGGGGGCCTCTTGGGGCCTCTTCCGTAGCCATTTTGGCTCAAGATGGTGTGCTCGGGAGGCTTTCAGCCTCCGTGCATTCACGAGAGCTGCCGCTGCAGCAACCTCCAGTGCCCTTGTGGGCTCGTGTCGGCGCGTGGGGCGCACCGATGGCGGGCGGCGAGAGCGGCTGGGAGGTCAAGGGCGGCGGTCGGCGCAACAGGAAGCAGAAGCCGTCTCTGGTGTGGACAGTCGGAGGCAAAGGCGGTGGCTCGTCCTGGGTGGGGGCGGGCCCGAGTGACACGTGGACGTGTGGGGCTTGCGGTACAGGTGCGAACTGGAGTACGCGTACGTCCTGCCGTGCCTGTGGCGCGGGTCGCCCTGGGTACAAAGGCAAGGGCAAGGTCACTTCCACGCCTGAGGTGGGGCAGTGGTCCCGCACCTCCTTCCCACCAGTGGCGGCCAGGCCTTGGCGTGCGGCCGCGGAGGTCAAGGCGCCTACGGCTCTGCAGAAGCTGGAGGAGCGCAGGAAGGTCCTGGTCCAGTGCGCCAAAGACTGGGGGGGTGACGCGCCTCACCTCGACCAGGCGGTGGCCGACATCGACAGGCAGATCCAGGACGCCAAGGCGGAGCGCACGCAGGCGAAGCCTTTGTCTGGCCAGCTGCGTGAGGCGCAGGTCCAGCTGGGGCAGATCGACAGGCAGCTGGAGCGCTTGGCAGAGACCGAGAGGAAGGCCAACCAGATGCTGCTCGAGGTCAAGAAGGAGAGGGATGAGGCTGCGAAGCGCAAGGAGGAGCTGGCGACCACGATCCTGGAGCTCCAGGGGAAGATTGCGGTGGCGGGCCCAGCGGCCCCAGCCTCAAACCTCGACGTCATCCGAGTGCAGTTGGAGTGCATCGCCAAGTCCGTCGGCAGCGACATCCAGTCCCTCGGCCTCAATTTTGCCACGCTCGAGTCCCTCCTGGAGGCCAAGGCTAAGGAAGGGGCAGCAAAGGCTGAGGCTGCTGATACTGGTGCTGCTAAGCAGCCTGGTCAGGCTGACGACGGGGACGGAACAGAGGACGAATCCATGGGAGACATCGTGGGGGCTGAGGAGTTGCCACCAGGTGTCACTGAGACCGAACGTAAGTGGATTAACGGGCAGGAGCCAGTGCCCGACCAGGAGGAGAACCCGCACTTGTTCAAGCGGTACCAAGAGGTGCTCATGTCGGTGCATTCCTGCCAGCTGGCCAAGAGGCAGCGAAAAGGGTAGCTTGCCATGCGACCTCCTGTTCCTGGTGCTCAATGGGACCCACCTCGGCTACCCCGAGTCGCCGTGGAGAGGCGCGGTCCAGGTGCAGCTGCGCCAGAGCGGGAAGGCCCTCCCTTGGGATGACAGCCGCTGGAACCCTGAGGGGTGGGAGGCGGAGTTCGGGGGGAGCGAGAGTGAAGGGCACCGACGGGACGTAGTGCAGATGGATGATGAGCGTGGCGGGCGCGCAGCAGCGGGAGCCAGCCAGAGGGCGGGAAGTGTGGCCAGGTCCACGCCCGCGGGGCCAGTGCGCGGCCCACGGCCTGCGGCATTGGCGAGGAGCGAGCACGGTGCCTTGAGGGCGGGAAGTGTGGCCAGGTCCACGCCCGCGGGGCCGTCGCGCGGCTTCGTGCCTGCGGCGACGGCGAGGAGTCAGGGGGCAGATTCGGGCCAGTGGCGAGGATACGCGAGGGTCCTGCACGACAATCGCATGATGAGGCTTTTGGTTGACAAGGTGAATGACGACAAGCAGGTGGTCATTGTGTGGACCTTCAACGGCTCGGGATGGGGGACCATCAGAGAGAAGCTCTTGGAGAAGAAGGTGGGGCAGCAGAAGCACATCTACGCTTTCCAGGAGCACCGCCTGAAAGAGGACCAGTGGGCTGGAGTTACCCACAGTATGCGTCAGAGAGGCTACCAAGTGGGTGGAGCGGTGGCCGTGCCCACGCTAGGCCCCATGGGTGAGCCAGGAACCTCTGCAGGTGTGGGAATCGCTGTGCCGAACAGGATTGGCATGGCGTATGTGTGTGGGCAGACCAGTTGGGACTGGCCCCCCAGAGGATCCCCAGGAAGAGCTGCAGCGGCATGGGTTGCAGTAGGTAGAGGCGGCATAGTGGTCGCGACGGTGTACCTGTGGACGGCCGAGCAGATGTCGCGGCGGAACAGGGGGCTGATGGACCACGTGCTGGGGAAGCTGCATGAGCTCAACATGCCGTGGGTGTTGTGCGGGGACTTCCAGAATGCCCCTGCCGTCCTGGCGGGTTTGGATTCGATCAAGCTCATTGGCGCGACGCTGGTGGCCCCCTCTGCTGCGAGCGGAACTTGTCGGTCTGCGAGTGGATGCTCCACAATAGACTATTTCGTAGTATCGAGGGAGTTGGCAGGCCAAGTGAGGAAGGTGGCCATCCACGAGTCTTGGCCTTCGGCGCCGCACAAGCCGGTGGGGGTCACGCTCGACCTGAGGCCGCAGGAGAGGAAGGAGCGGATTCTCATCACGCCGAAGAAGTTGGAAGGAATCAGCATCGGGTGCGCGCCTGAGCCGCCCGCATACGACGAGGTGGGGGTTTTCAGCGACGTGACGGTAGCAACCAGGACCTGGGCTTCCTTCATTGGCAAGCTGGAGCGCGAGGCTTTCGCGCTGCGGGGGCTGGAGTGGCACCCCAGGCATGAGTGCGCAGGGCGTGCGGACCCACCGCGCTGGAAAGAGAGAGCGATCCTCAGAGGGGGCGGCAACCACCCAGCCCCGCAAGGAGACGCTCTGTGGTGGCGGTGGCTCGCGCGCTCTCTGCAGACCCTGGCGGGGAACTACGAGAGGCTCAGG